AACTTACATCTCCATTCTCAAATGTCTTCATCCATATTCAGCCTGATGGCACAATTACGATGTCTTACACGCTGTAGAGAGGGTCATTTTGGAGCATTGTATGTGATGGGCCGCCAACGTTTAGTCTATCATGTGTGTCCTTATGATTGACCACTTTTCAACTCAATTAATTTGACTTCGTGTTGATGACTAGCAGCTGAGCTGCGAGTGATCCTAGGTCATTTGAAACCGTCTCTGTCTCCGACAGATTCGAAGTCATAAGAACAAGTTCAGTTCGGCTTTGATCTCTCCCTTTGATTCAAGCCTTTGGAAGCAGCAGCCTTCCATTTCGTCCAAGACAACTACTATTGCTATAAGCCCTACATCACTTGCGTTGCTAGTGCTTCTCCGTCTCAAGTGCGAGAACATTTGCCACATTCTATCGAGATCCTATAACTCTAGTCTACGATGCCCCCAAGACCAAGAAGACGTGGTGTTAACTACGAAGACGACTCTGCTAATGGCTCTCAGCATGAAGAGTCATATCAAGATCATGAAGACCCTATATCGACTGAGTATTCTGGCCAACAAGACGGTGATCCCAGTACTCTAAATGAACAAGCCCCCCAATCTGCTTCCTCGTCTATGTTACCTAATGCTGACACAGGTGATTCCTCTATTCCCTCTGTGCTCCCTGGCGACGAGTCGAGTAACCATGTCAGCCAACTACCTTCTCAACAAGCACATGGTACTGTGGTTCCTCCTTCAAGTGGTTCTACGGCCGGATTACCTCGTCCCCCGGCCCTCGGCTCTCCCCAGCTAGTTGCTAACATGGACAGTCCTGTACATCCTCAACCCGGTGAAGGTCCTTCGGCTCCGCCTCATGTCCCCTCACAACGAGTCTCTATTGCCCAACCACCTGTTCACCCTTCTCGTCAACATCTTGTTAGTCATGGTCAACAACATCGCCTACCTGCTGCTGCTATATCGGTACACCCGTCGGCTGCCCCGTCGGAAATGCCGGAACATGCTCCCCGTCTCACGTCCCCTCCCTGGCCGTCCTACGACGATGATGCCCAGAAGAAGGAATATGAGTATCATGGGTCAAATAACTGGTCTGCTGATGATTCTTGGAAGAAGACCACTACCCCTGACGAAGTCGGTCAAGTCGTGAAGGATGTGAACTGGACTACTCCTGTTCTTGGTCATCCTTGGGAAGGTCAAGACGATATAACTAGTCTTACTGAGTTTCATGCCAAGCTCATTCGATCTACGGGGTTTACTTGGTCAGACCCTAGATGGCGTTATTTCCTTCTACGACACAACTTGTCCATCGACTTGCAACGTCTACTGGACTGTCACGAAGAAGACTCCCCTGTTGACCCAAGCCAGTTTCGAGACCCCTATTCAGCCCACTCAGATTATTGGTCTACTCTAACTGAAGGTGCGTGGAACTTCCTAGGTGGTATTTATAACGGCTCTGATGGGGATCAACTGGAAGATCGTTGGACTTCTCTCTGGCTAGAAAAAGGCACCACATTCCTCAAGTTCTGGTCTCGCTTTGAGAGCTTGTCCCGTGAAGTGGCAAGATCACGCAAAGTCCCTCGCCTCTCCGAACAAGAACTACGCTGTCGTATGTACCAGGCTGTACCTACTAAGTGTAAAAGCTATCTGGACGAGAGAGGATATCGTCAACCTGGAGTTATGAGTTATAAGCAACTCACCGAAGCTACTATGGCCTGGTGTGGAGTTCATTGGGATCATCACAAGCACTCTTCTATTCATGCTATTACTGCTCAGTCCGAGACTTATCCTGTGGCTAATCCCCCGTATGACTCAAAGCCCTATCCTGGTAATACATCTACCTCGGTCGGTCCTACCGGTGCAACATGGTCCTCTTCAGCGACTAACCGGCCTAGAGTTAAACGTCAACGTGACGACTCCACTATCTTACAGCACCCTCTCAACAAGGTTATCATCGAGTCCAAGTGTGGTCGCTGCTTATCTTCTGATGGTCACACTGCTGCCACCTGCTGTGGTTCTGTACAACATGAACGTTGCCTCTTCTGTGGTCTGGTGCATGTCCCTACTCTATATTGTCCTAGAGACTATGATACCTTTGGCAAAGAATGTATGCGTTGTGGCAAGAAGAATCATAGTGCATGGTGTTGCAAAGCTGCCTCTCCGTCTGTCGTTGCTGCTGTCACTCTCAACGACTCCGGTAATCACGACAATGCTATATCTGTACGTCTCAACAAATCTTCCCATGCATTCCAAGCATTACTAGATTCAGGAGCTCAGGCCTGTGTGATTACCATGGAAGCCCTTACTAAGGTTCCTGAATTCAACCTCACACCTACTACTGTATCTCTTATCACGGCTGATGGAGGTCACCCTACTGTTA